CCTTATCAGGCTTAGGAATAACCGAGATATATGCACGGGAGAAGTCAGTCTGGGGTATGATTCCCTTAAATAGATCTCGGTAAAGGGATAGGAGATGAGGGGCCAGGAGTACCAATAAAAGATTTATATAGGAGTAGGGCAGTCCGTCCGGTCCCGGGGCTTTACGAGAAGGGAGGTGTTTAATTGTATCCAATAATTCCTCTAGCGTAATATCCGCATTAAGAGCGTCAATGTCTGAGGGTGATACTCTCGGAAGTAGCAAGGGGTCAAAAAAATTATCAAACGATGGTTGTGTGAGAGAAGGGTGAAGGTCCGGGGTTAAACAGTTATACAATTTCCCATAGAATGAGCCAAAAAGGGTTGCCATGGCCCGAGGATCATAAGTAGGGCATCCATCAGGCTGTATTAGAAGGTCGGGCATCGTGGAGGGGACTGGGCTTTGAGACGGTTGACTAACATATGGTGTGGCTTGTTAGAAAATTCATAAAATTTCTGTCTAACCCAAAGGAGAGATTGTGCAGTCTTACTGGAGTCAAGGGCTTTAATTCGGTCACGTAGAAATGTTACCCCCTGAAGCCCTGAAATAGATGGCTTATTCAGTAACTGACGTTCCGCCAACGAGAGCTGTTGTATGAGAGAGGCCCTAGCACTCGCCGAGGACTTTTTTAAACGGGAACCCATGGAGATACAGAGTCCACGGAAGACCGCCTTGTGGGCCTCCCACAGAGATGAGGAAGAAGTTACGGAACCGACATTAAAAGTAAAGTATGTATCGAGTCCCCGTGACAATTCATCCCTAAGATGGTCTGTGGAAAGAAATGTCTCATTAAGGCGCCAGTGACACGGTTTGGGCATAGCAGGGGGAAAAAAAAGATTTAAGGTCAAAGAGGCATGATCAGACCAAGTGATGGGATTGATTTCAGAGGAAACCAGAAGTGGGAGCAAAGAGGCAGAGATGAAAAAATGATCTAGGCGGGAATAACTACGGTGAGGGTTGGAGTAAAATGTAAATTGTTTATGAAGGGGGTGTTTAATCCGCCAAGCGTCAAAGAGACGATGCTCCCTAATCAATTTACGGAAAGATTTTGAAGAGGAGCATTGCCGCTTCAAGGGGGTGGACTCAAAAAGCACTTTCCTGTCTTTATGGGGGGAAACAATCAGATTAAAATCTCCCCCTACAATCACCTGCGAGGTAGTAATAGAGTCTAGATTAGCGAGCGTTTGGGATAGGAATTGCAGTTGACCTGTATTGGGAGCATATAAATTCAACAGAACAAGGGAGTCTCGCCATGCATACACTCTAAAATAATATAAAACGACCCTGATGGTCAAACCTTGGAGGAAACAACCCGAAGGGAGCAGTGTGACCCAATAAGGATTGCCACCCCGGCCTTCCCAGAAGGATTAAAGGCCGAGTAGGCTTGGGGAAAAAATCTCGAGGCAAAACGAAAAGAGCCAGTTGATTTAAAATGGGTTTCTTGGACAAAAATAATGTCTGCTCCAGAGGATCGGAATTCCCTCAAAGCCATCCACCGTTTTTGAATGGAGTTGAGGCCCTTGACGTTATATGACAGAAACCTCAACGCCATTATGAAACAACGACAACTGACCTACATGTAATAGCATGAAAAATGAATGGAATACCATCGATGTAATATAGTGAAAAAGCAAAAAACATAAAACAGTTGAATAACACAGTACAGTGCAAAGTAATAGTATAAAAAACAAAAAACAGAGAACTAACACTAATAAGTATCCGCAAGGATATAAACTCGGGGATAACAATGGGACCCAAGTCGTCTAGGCCCATGACTAGACAAAGTCGGGGGCAACACGACAACCAGGACATCGGAAAGATCGTCAAGCCCGGCCAGAAAAAAAAAAAAAAAAAATCAACCATGAAAAACACCCGACAATTTGGCCGGACAGATAAGGTAAACCTGTGGGAAAATTATGTAAAGACAAAAAGAACCAAAAACCCAGGAAGGAAGGTTCATCACCGGATTCAGAAGGGCGCCCCAGAGAATCGTCAAGCAGGTGGATCAGTTGACCGAGGAAGACGCGGACGTTGTGGGGTACGAGAAAGTCTCTTCCGACCTCTGCGAACTGGGGTCCAAATCTTGTTGGGGGTAGCGGATGGACGAGACGGAGTTGGTGGCAGTGGGGATACATCTTCAGACAGAGGTGGAAGTCCCAGGCGTTTTAAGAAGGAGTCCGCCTCATGAAGATCACGGAGCACAACTTGGGTATTGTCCCTAGTTACGATCAGCCGAAAGGGAAACCCCCAGCGGTAAGGGACACGGTGTTGTGTTGAAGATGTGTGGTGATCGGTTTCAGATCTCGTCGCTTAGCCAGTGTAATCGGGGACAGGTCGCAGAAGAGTTGGAGTCTGTCCCCCTGAAATTCCAGAGACGATTTATGGCGAACAGCAGAAAGTAGAGCTTCTTTGCTTTGAAAAAAATGAAAGCGAACAATAACGTCGCGAGATCTGGTGCCTTCAGCAGGTTTTGGGCCCAAGGAGCGGTGAGCCCTATCCATACGCCAATCTGCCTCTGGAACCAAGGGTGCAGTCACGGTAAAGAAGGACAGAAGATGACGGTGCAACTGTGCATCTGCAATAGACTCGGACATACCGCGGATACGGATATTTTGGCGCCGTTCCCTGTTTTCCAGATCCTCTTGCTGGAGCTGCATTTGGGACATGGAATGCTTCAGATAAGCGTTATCCTCTTCCAGCACGTGGACGTATTGAACCAGATCATCAAACTCATTTTCCAGTCTGTCCGTGCGGTCTCCAATCTGGGCAATTTCCCCTCTAAGCTCTAAGGCCAGCTTTCCAATTTCAGCGGATATGGACGCGGTAATGTTGCGCAAAAAATTTTGTAGCTTGTCATCCAACGCTGACAATGTGAGGGAAGGTGACTGGGTGGCCTGTTGAGGTGCCAGGGTGGAAAGAGGATGCTTCTCTGAGGCAGAGTGCTCCGCAGCCCTTGCAGTAGCATGCTGGGGCTCATAGTCCTCCAGCAGGGAGTGTGTCAGGGCAGAGGCTGGAGTGTCTGTGGGTGCAGTACCGTCTGCGGCCACCGGGGGGCCGCGATCTCTCCCTGGGCTCTCAGTCATACCTGAGGCTGGGGATTGTGGCCTGGAGAGGAACCTCCGGAGCGGCGAGGGCCGCGGGTCACGTGGTTGCGGGGAGGGGGGCCTCCAGCGCCCTATCTTCCCCATCAAGCCTTCGCTCAGGTGCCGGGCCGGGTGCAGAGTACGGGTGACTCACCTGCAGCGGAAGAGGAGCGGAGGCAAGTGTCGGGTGAGTCTTCACTGGCCGGGATGAGCGGAGCTCACTTAAAGTGCAGCCGCCATCTTCTCTGGCCGCGCATGCGCCCCTCTCCTCTCTAAATACAAGAAAGGATTTTGCTTTCTTTGGAAACTGCAGCTTGGCATTGAGATCCTTCTCTAGCATTGATTCCCCCAGTTGTACTCCCCCTAGTATGTATGATGCATGCATAATCTTAGCCCCCAAGTGCATAACCTTACATTTATCAACATTAAACACAAACTTTAATATAAAAGACTGAAATGGTATTTTTAATCCCAGACTCTATCATTTATAGGTATATTAAAAAGTAAGGGTCCCAACACTGAACCTTGGAGTACACCACTAAAAACCCTAGACCATTCAGAGTATGAATCATTAACCACTACTTTCTGAATATGTTCTTTTAGCCAGTTTTCTATCCATTTATAAACTGATTTTTCCAAGCCTGTAGACTTTACCTTACACATGCCGTGTGTGGGGAACTGTGTCAAACGCTTTTGCAAAATCCAAGTATACTATATCCACAACCACTACTTTGTCTAAGACTTTGCTCACCTCCTCAAAAAAAGAAATCAGATTTGTTTGACAACTTTTGTCTTTCATGAATCCATGTTGTTTGTTGCTTAAAATATTTTTTCCAGCAAGAACTCATCTACAGTATGTGGTCTTTAATTAAAATCTCCAGGATCTTCGCAACTAAAGACGTTAAACTAACAGGTCTATATTTACTTGGTAACTATAAGACTTTGACCCCTTTTTAAATATCGGCACCACATTGGCCCTACACCAATGTTATTTTTGTTTTCAACAATAACATGAAAGATGGATTTCTTTTTATGATTCATTTTCTGACAGGGCAGTATCTTCTGTCAGGCATACATATATCTGTTTATGCCTGATCAGCTGCCCTATATACACTATATTGTTAAAAGTATTGAGACACCTGCCTTTACACGCACATGAACTTTTATGGCATCCCAGTCAAAGGGTTCAAAGGGTTCAATATTGAGTTGGCACACCCTTTGCAGCTATAACAGCTTCAGCTCTTCTTCAAAGGCTGTCCACAAGGTTTAGGAGTGTGTCTATGGGAATGTTTGACCATTCTCCCAGAAGAGCATTTGTGATGTCAGGCACTGATGTTGGACGAGAAGGCCTGGCTTGCAGTCTCCACCCTAATTCATCCCAAAGGTGTTATTTCAGGTTGAGCTCATGACTCTGTAGAGGCCAGTCCAGTTTCTCCACCCCAGACTCTCTCATCAATGTCTTTATGGACCTTGCTTTGTGCACGGGTGCGCACTCATGTTGGAACAGGAAGGGGCCATACCCAAACTGTTCCCACAAAGTTGGGAGCATGAAATTGTCCAAAATGCCTTGGTATGCTGAAGCCTTAAGAGTTCCCTTCACTTTAACTAAGGTGCCAAGCCCACCCCTGAAAACAACCCCACACCATAATCCCCCCTCCACCAAACTTTACACTTGGCACGATGCAGTCAGGCAAGTACCGTTCTCCTGGCAACCACCAAACCCAGACTCATCCATCAGATTGCCAGACACAGAAGCCTGATTTGTCACTCCAGAGAACACGTCTACACTGCTCTAGAGTCCAGTGGCGGTGTGCTTTACACCTCTGCATCCAACACTTTGCATTGCACTTGGTGCTATAAGGCTTGTGTGCAGCTGCTCTGCCTTGGAATCCATTAGATGAAGCTCTCTATGCACTGTTGTTGTGCTAATCTGAAGCTAATCTGAAGGCCACATGAAATTTGGAGATCTTTAGCTATTGACTCTGCAGACAGTTGGCGACTTCTGCGCACTATGCGCTTCATCAGCATGCACTGACCCCGCTCTGTCATTTTACATGGCCTACCACTTTGTGGCTGAGATGCTGTTGCACATAGTTGTTTCCACTTTGTTATAACACCACTAACAGTTGACTGTGGAATATTTAGTAGCAAGGAAATTTCAGGGATGGACTTATTGCACAGGTGGCAACCTATCACGTTACCACGCTTGAATTCACTGAGCTCCTGAGAGCGTTCCATTCTTTCACAAATGTTTGTAGAAGCAGTATGCATGCCTAGGTGATTGGAAAACCTGAATTCAATGATTTGGAGGGGTGTCCCAATACTTTTGGCAATATAGTGTATCCGTCACCTAAATCAGTTCAAAGCAGAATTGATCCACAGCAAATAATACCTGTCAGCCAATGGCAGTAAAAGCAAAACAAGCTACAAGTCATTGTAGTCAGAACTCATACCAAGTCATGATCTTCTCAAATCGGTAAGTAACATTCTCCTTCATACCTAGATGTACTGAGTGTTTTCTTCAGCTCCTGGGGCTGAACTGATTGGTGGAGGAGGAAAGAAAAGGTATGTCCTGCTGTTGATGGGGAAAGCCGGCCATAGATGGTGCGATTTTCTTTCCTGCAAGCACGGGTTGCAGGAAAGAAAGTTGCTAGATTCCCCCATCAATAGCAGAGCTATTGTGTTCTCCCAGCAAAGGGGGGAGCCATCCCTGCCTGGAGAACACAGCGATTATTGGTATCGGCTATAGCCATTGGCAGTTACCGCATGAAAAATCTGACAGGCTGGTTGTAATCAAGTCGTACAACAATCGATTTGGGTACAATCAGCCTGCCCAAAGATGTTTGAATCTCGACCGGTCCCTGTTGAACTGACTGAGATTCAAACCATCTATGGCCAACTTAAGCAAACCTGTTGCTTTGCCCTAAATGAGCAAAGCGCCAGAACTCCTCCTAAATGTTATTTGCTTTTAATCTGACAAGAAAAGATAACAATAACAGAATTGTAGTATTTTCACATCAATGACTATCATAATATTGTTAGGAGTATGTCATGGCTGTCATTGGTAGGGGAAGACACAGACTAGCATACCTTCCACTGACTGCCAATGTCCTTAAAGTCCTGCAATAAAAAACTGTTAGGAGTTTGTTTTACATGCAATGTCTATTTTGACCAAAAACATTTCCCTTGGCTCTTAGTAGTGTATTCATTTCTAGTACAATGCACAGGTGCTGTACAAAACACAGATTAATCTCATTCCCATCATTTGTAAAATGCTGAGAATGGAAGCAGGGATGATGTAACTTCTGTTAGATTATTAGTGGATGCCTACAGGTCGAAGAGACGTGTCACAGGACCTAGAAGCAGTGATGGAGGAAATAGATTCGGGGCAGAGCTCTGAATGGACCTTGGACCCATTATCACTGAAGGAGGGCACTGTGTGAAGACTGTACCATGAGTTTCTAGTTGTTCTATGGGCAAATGTAGGTTGTTTTACCAAGATAACACTTTAAGAATAAAAAAAACATATACATTAAATTGTAAGAATACCCAAACTCTTTTAGTAGTGGGTAGATTCAAGGATTAAAACCTTTGCCTGGTTTATTTTGCTGTGTCTGTTAGAGGAAATGCGCCCTCATTATTTTTCTTGTGACCACTGTTTCCGGGAGCAAAAGTGAGTGAGGGTAAGGGCAAATCTTCCAATGTGGACACCTGTTCTGATGACAACTCTCTAAGAGGGGAATTCCCCTCAATTTGCAGAGATTCCATCTTACTTCCTGTCCGAAGGTCACTACAGGAAGTGAGATGGAATCATTACAAAGCAAAGAGAGAATTCCCCACTTAGACAAAACAAAACCTTTCCTGGTTTATAATGCTGTCTCTGACGGGATAATTTACCCTCACTATTTGTCTTGGTGACCACTGACTACTGTCACTGGGAGAGAAAGTGATAAAAAAATTTCCCCTCATTTTGTAGAGATTTCATCATACTTCCTGCAGTGATTCTGGGAAAGGAAATGAAAGAAAATCTCCCAAAGGAAAACAAACAATCTTTCAGGAGTTTTAACTCTTTCATCCTTTAAAAAACTAAAAAGAAAGTTGAAAATACTGTACATAAACTTTAATGCTAACCTCTATTTTACTTTTTTAAGGCAAAGCAATGGGTTTGTTTCAATCCATCACCCCTCCCCATCACAAGCGAAAGGACCTTTCCCTTTCTCCTCTTGCAATTTATTCAGTGCTGGGATTGCACAGAGGAGCTGATGGGGTTGATTTACTAAATGCAAATAGGCTGATCTCATTGAAAGGGAAGTTGCACTTTGCAAGGGAAATGTCTCTGGAGCTTAGGTAATGTGGTGAAACATCACTTTGCAAAGAATACCCAATCATGTGCAAGGAAAAGAAAAAAAATATAATTTTGCTTGCACATAATTGGATGGAAGTCAGCAAAATTTCACCCTATTCACCAAGGCAGCCCATAGATGATTAGATTTCCTTTATTTCCACCACGATTGGAAGAAAAGAAAAACGTTCGACTGTTGAATGAGAAATGCCTATTGTGTTCTTCCGGCAGGGGGATGTGGAGAGCCTTTAAAGTTGGCAGAACACAATGATTACTTCCAGCGGCTATAACCGCTGGCAGTAATTGCATGTAAGAAAATGGACAGTATATGAAGAAACAAAAAGAGGGTGCACGGGCCTAGTGCATTACCTTTAAAAATTAGATTTATTGATAAAAAGTAAAACAAAGGAATAAAATCAAATGAAGGGCATGTCACAAGAAATGCAGCATGGTCCAAGCGCCCTTAAGGATGTCTGGGGGGGACTGTAGATCTCTAGGTGGCTGTTGGCTGACACATTTTGAGGCTGTGCCTCTTCCTCAGAGCGAATGTCTACACAACCTGTGTCCTCTCTTACTTTTTATCAATAAATCTCATTTTTAAAGGTAATGCACTAGGCCTGTGAGCCCTCTTTTTGTTCATATACAGTTCTTTTTGGATATCCCTGGTCCTTTGAGAGCAGCAAAGCTTGCATTCCTTCTATACTCCATGTGGGTATACAGACATTGTGGAGTCCACTGTAGGAGTTCGGTCCCTTTTTTTTCTTCCTATAAGAAAAAAGACAGGCTGGTTGAACCCATTGATGGATCAACTTGGGTACATGAACCAGCTGAATTTCGATCCATATATATCTGGCTTAAGCTCTGAAGCAAATGCCCGTGCAAAGTGAACAGCCAATTTGCCTTTACTAAATTCATTCCATGTAACAGCGCTGGGCCAGTCAGTGCTGTCTCAAGTTTATAGCCCTGTGCAGGGGCGGACTGACAACTCATGGGACCCCTGGGCAATAGGGGATCATGGGGCCCCTGTGTCCTTTCCCAAACTCAAAAAAGCCTATGAAAAAGGTACCAGGGGCATCTCATGAGGCCCCCTACTGACCCCGGGCCCTCGGGCAGTGCCCGAGTTTCCAAATGGTCAGTCCGCCCCTGGCCCTGTGTAAGCTATGTCTCTGGTGGTTTATAGATTGTACACGATTTTCCTTTGCTGGATATGTTGAGGAATCAAAAAGAAGGTAAATATATGCTGTTGGGGAGCACTAAGTTAGTGAATTTGTTCCTTTTTCACACATGGGTGAAGTACAAGTTCACTTTAAGTCCATCCAAAGCACAGGTTAGCTACAGCTGCAAAACAAATCCTTTCAACTTTTACAACACATCTTTATTACTTTCATACAAAGCAATCTATACCATTTTCATGTAATACAATTAATCCATCAGTTCTGGATTTTACAAGTAACATGCAGCATTTCAGCAAGACAATAACCGAATCATTTACTAAAGCCTTAGATTTCTCATTTTCTGATGAGAAGCTCTTTTGGCTTTTCTCCAGTCACATTTGCTGTATTCACCATATCTCTTAAAAGAAAAATAAATCTTTCTACAATCTCAGCAGCAAAGCCATTTTAAAACGTCTCCATCGCACGGTCAGAATATATAAGAAGTCAGCATTTTCAGTTCATTAATAGCACAGCTTTCAAGAATAATGTGGATTGTACTGTGTTCATTATGCGTAATTTATGTCAACAAAGCAAATACATAATAAGCGAACAATGGCTCGATGAAATCAATTCACAGAGATGTATTTACAAACAAAGTGCAAATGTGTATGTGAGGTGAAGAAATTGGAATTGGAGATGTGAGTTGAAAGCAGGCAGAAGTTCAGATTTAAAAAAAAGACTTTAGAAAAGTTAAAAGACAAATAAAAGTAGTTATGTATAGTCGATGAGTTGCTAGACTCCAAAACACTATTTGATCATGGACAGTTTTATGATCCTTGCAGGTACACTGCTACTTATCAGGTTAAAACCCTTCTAGAGTATGTTCTCTGAAGAAACATAAAGTCAGCTTTTTCCTGCTCTCTTCTTGGCTTCTTTCTGTCCTCACTTTTTTCCTTTGGATTTATAATTCTCTCTCTTTCTCTTATCTCATAGCTGCAGTTTTTCCTCTCAGTTGCACTTGACTGTTACACTGTTCACTGAGATTGACTAAAATAACTACACTAACAACAAAGATACTTTTAACTGCATTGTTACTTTAGTATTTCAGTATCGGCCACAGCTTAATATCTGTGAATAATGAACAATCAACCAATAAAACATATCTAACACCAAATCCCTTTTAGCAGTGCTGAGTGGCGTATTTCCACTTTTCTTCCTTAGCAGGAGCCAATTCAGCCCCCAGCAGTCCAGGTTAGGCTCAGGGGTTTACTTCGGCCTTCTGCTACCAATTCTACCACCTCTTCCAGCCACCTACCACCTTAGCCCGCAAAAGGGATAAAAGCCAGCTGTGACAAAAAATACCACATGACAACAAATATACATGACTGGAACCAATAGTAAGTTGTCTCTTAATTAATTATTTTGTAATTATTTATTCATTGTCCTTTAAGAAAAAACTGCACTATTTTTTTTATTTATTTATTTGTTTTTTTGTTTTTTTTTTTTAATGATTTATTTATTTATTTATTTTTTTAAATATCATAAGCAAAGGCATAACAACAAAACCCAGGAACAAAAACTTGGGGAGCGAGGGTGGGGACTTCTTTCTTTGTGGAAGGGTGCCAACTGAGTGACCAGTATGTCACGGGACTTAACATGATGCAGGGGTCCCCTCCTTTTTCTTCCTCCTACCAATAATCTGTCACCACAATCCAAATCACGCCCCTTCGCCATCCTGTCCTTCTGCCATCACTTAACCTCTTTATTACCATACAGACTAGTCCAAAGGGACCATCCCCAGTCATGATGTCTGCTGTGTTTATAACACAGGGAATTGCTTTCTTGGTGTACTCATTTCCTCTATTTGTATGCTCAGTTCTTTTCTTCCCACCATACACAGACCAACACCCTGAGTGTTAAGATTTTCCCCAACACTTTGTAACTTTCAACCCCATAAGGGTAATGGATCTCATGCAATTTTTTTTTAATTCTTTATTTCTTGTTTACATGTTGTGGGAACTCGCTTCAAAATGGTAGAGCTTCTTCAAAGCACACAGCAACTCGCTTCTTTTTAAGGGCCTTTTTGCCCAATTTTATTTACAAGAAAGTTCAAATAACAAAAATGCTTCCCACGCAGGGGTATACACCATCACACAAATTCAGCCCTCTGGCTCTTTCAGCTATACTGCTTTATATATGTCTCCTACAGACTCCTTCCACAAGGTTGTTTTTGCACACAGCAAACTTCTAGCACACAGCTAGTCTGGCTCCCACCTCTACTCGGTGAAGCCCACCTGACTCCACAGCAGAGACCTCCTGTCTGCCGGGGTGGAGCCCTCCTGACTCCGTCTGCCGGGGTGGAGCTCAGAAGCATGACCTGGCCTCCACAAAAAGGCCTGCACACACCTGTGCAATCATCGCACTGGCTGCTCTCAAAATATGGGCCCAGGATTGGGGATTTCATCCCTCCCAAATCTCTTAGAAATTTCCAGGCTACAGGTCCCAAAACAGGCTTTACAAACCAAAGAGGAAACTGATAAACCAGTTTCCTCTGCATTATGAGAACTGCCTGGAGCCCCTCAACCTGTATGGTTGAGAATCCTGGGTCCCCATCGTGATTTCCACCGTGGCAGGATACCGCACTGCCACAATGTGTACATTTGGTGTTCTAGGTAGGTTAGATTCAATACAAAGAATTGGAATGTTGAACAGCTCTGTCATTATAGCAAATGAGATACATAACAAGCAATACTGTAAAAAATATACTAAAATGGCATTGCTGAAAAACATTATAAAGATGATTACACTGATTTATAAAATGGTTTAATAACTTTTAATAATACTACTATTAAAAAATACATAGCTGATGGCAACTGGTCATGAGAAATACAACTTGCTCTGAGAATCTGAGGCACTAGGATTATTTACTAAAAGTAATTAAGCTGTTCACTTTGCAAGGAAAGATGCACTTTGCAAAGGAATTTGCCACAGAGGTGAAGTTCTGTTGACATTTTTATTTCTACTTTCCTCACGCATGATTAGGTATTCTTTGCAAAGTGAAACTACACCAAATAAAATAAGCTTACCTTGCAAAGTGCAATTTCCCTTGCACAGTGAACAGCCTATTCATCTTTAATAAATCGACCCCACTGGATCATGTAGTATATTATCAAAAGTGACGCTGATATTTACTGGCTTTGGTTAAGCTACTCCAAAAGAGCCAGGGAGCTCCAAATTTTCTAAGAATTCAGACTGTAATGAGTGCACTATACCAAAAGCAGTAGAGTTCAAGATGATTCACTTTATGTCAGGATAACATAGCATACAGGGAAACATATTAGGGGCGCCAACAGTCTACCTTTACTATGGCGTTAAGGCTACATTTTACAGTAGCAGAAAATAAAGGCAGTTAAGCTGTGTTTTCACAACCACTAAAACCGCCCCCCACATATAGCTACAAAAGCAGCTGTATGGGAGTACTATAAACACATGCTGCGGTTACAATCCAATGCTTTTATCCCATGTCAAGTGAATGGGGCCAAGCTACAACCACCCGCAACTGCATGTAATGCACATGGTTGTGGGTGGTGGTACAGGCTTTTAGTGGTTAAAACAGGTGGTTAGGTGACATATCATTCTCTTACAGTCTGTCAAGTGCCATCTGAAAAACGATCCACCCCAAATCATTCTTTAACCACTAGCCTACTGGCACTTATACTCCCTTCCTGCCCAGGCCAATTTTCAGCTTTCAGTGCTGTCGCACTTTGAATGACAATTGTGCAGTCATGCAACACTGTACCCATATGAAATTTTTAGCATTTTTTTGAGACAGATAGAGCTTTCTTTTGGTGGTATTTAATCACCTCTGGGTTTTTTATTTGTTGCTAAACAAACCAATAACCACTGAAATTTGTGGAAAAAAAAGAGTTTTTGTTTTAAAATTTTGTAAATAAGTGATTTTTCTCCTTCACTGATATGCGCTAATGAGGCTGCAGTGATGGGCACTGATAGGTGGCATTGATCGGCACTGATGAGGAGGCACTGGTAGGTGGCACTGATGGGCATTGACAGGCATCACTGATGGGCACTGAAAGGCAGCATTCATATATGGCACTGATAGGCTGCACTGATAGGTGACACTGATAGGCGGTACTGACTGATACTGATAGGCGGCACTGACTGGCACTGTTAGGTGGCACTGACTGGCACTGTTAGGTGGCACTGATAGGCAGCACTGACGGGCACTGATCGGTGGCACTGAAGCGCACTGATCGGTGGCACTGACTGGCACTGATATGTGGCACTGACTGGCATTGATAGGCAGCACTGACTGGCACTAATAGGTGACACTGAAAGGCAACTCAGATGAGCACTGATATGTGGCATTGATGTGTACTGGTAGGCACAGATATGCAGCATTGATGTTGCACTGATGGGCACTGGCAGGTGGCCTTGATGAGCACTGACAGCTGGCATTGATGGACACTGACAGGTGGCACTGCTGGGGCTACACTGATCATCAGGGCACACTGATCATCAGTGCCCTGATGATCAGTGTACATGTCCCCTCAGACGAATGCTGATTACCGGCTCTCCTCTAATCTCAAGCTGGCAGCGTGACAGCTCGTGAGGAGAGAAATGCCGATAACTGTCATTTCCCTATTTACATGAGATCAGTTGTGATTGGACAGCTGATCACATGACCAAGCCGAAATCTTTGGCTCTTTCCGTTGATTGGTGATCCGCTGTGTCCGAGGGAAACAGCGCACTGCCAATCTCCATGCTGCGCGATCCCGGAGCCGCGCATGCGTGGTTAGAATGGGAGAACATCATATGATGTTCTCCCAGAACGAGAGAACCGCCTTGCGTCCGTCATTGCCTTATATGGAGGGCGGGAGGTGGTAAATAGGGTAAGGTTTGAGTGAACTATCTGGACTCAATAGGCCTCAGAAGCATTTGTTATTTGGTTGGTTTAGATAGGTTATCCTGCATAATTTTGCTAAATGTAGAGATTTTACACATTTAGTACAGTTATATTGTATATCTTCAGCTTTCATTAAAATGATACTGGTTATCCTGCCGTCAAAGTTCCTCTTATAGGGTGACATTGCTTTGTCCCTCTCCCCCAGTTATGTGCCTGCCCTGCATTATCAAATTGTTAGATTGGCCTCTAATAGAAAGTACAAGTATCCGCAGGTATGTAGACAGGAAGAAGCTGCAAGGAGGCTGCAGGGAATCAATGGCATTGAAACATAACACATGATGAAAAACATGTGAAAATAGTATTTTAATGAAGAGTAACATTTTAATTAAAAAAAACACGGTGCATATTGGAGTGTGTTGTGAGTATATATATATATATATACACATACATACATACAGTTCATTCTTGGACAGACCTGTGAAAAGTCCATTTACACATCAAAAGGTCTTTTAACCATGTTAATTTTATGCAAGAGGTAAATTCCTTATCTTGCCATTTGTGGACTGAACTGTTTATGGTTGATTATCCAATTAAACCTTTACAAGGGGTTGTAAAATGTAGGTTAGATATGTAATGAAAAAGGTCTTAAAGATCCAAAGGGATGTTTGTGGCAAATTAACATTTTAAAGTGTACATTGTTTACATATTTAAGGACGATAAAGGAATGCAATTTGATCATACAAGTATTTATTGATTGTAATTAGACTTGAGGGGGTATTCATGGGAATAAGTAACTATAAATCCTCCTGCGCTTTTATGGTGGATACAATATTCAGCTAAAAGAAGCCGCCAGCATCTATCCTATACCAAAAAAAGGACAATGAGAACTAATATATAAAAATGATGCAGCGCTAACAGAAAACACATATAATAAACTAAATATGATAGTAGATAACCCACATCCACCGGGGGATATGGGAACAGGCAAAAAACCCTTAACAGGTAGATAATAGTGGCTTAGTGCAAAATGCAGTGTCCATAGTTCATATCTTTAAAACGTGCAGGTGAATCACAGCACACTCCAAACGTGATCCAAGGCAGTCTGGCTGCAATGGCCTCTCACCTCCACTCTATGACCCCACAGGGCCACAAAGCATATTGCAGATCACCTCTGGGTCCTTTCCAACCAGTAGCTCCTCAAAGAGAAATGGCATGGGCGGACATCACATGAATAAGAATAACCTCCAGCCGGACCAGCGGACATACAGAGTGTGCCCTCCTCAGATGTCAGAAAGCTCGTATGCTCATAAATGAGGAGAGAAACACAATCCTCATAGTGTATTACTGATTTTAATGGCCAGACAATCACAGTAAGCCAAGAAAAACAGGAGAAACATACACTTACATAACAGCAGTATCTTTCCCCATGGAATCCATGGGGAAAGATACTGCTGTTATGTAAGTGTATGTTTCTCCTGTTTTTTCTTGGCTTACTGTGATTGTCTGGCCATTAAAATCAGTAATACACTATGAGGATTGTGTTTCTCTCCTCATTTATGAGCATACGAGCTTTCTGACATCTGAGGAGGGCACACTCTGTATGTCCGCTGGTCCGGCTGGAGGTTATTCTTATTCATGTGATGTCCGCCCATGCCATTTCTCTTTGAGGAGCTACTGGTTGGAAAGGACCCAGAGGTGATCTGCAATATGCTTTGTGGCCCTGTGGGGTCATAGAGTGGAGGTGAGAGGCCATTGCAGCCAGACTGCCTTGGATCACGTTTGGAGTGTGCTGTGATTCACCTGCACGTTTTAAAGATATGAACTATGGACACTGCATTTTGCACTAAGCCACTATTATCTACCTGTTAAGGGTTTTTTGCCTGTTCCCATATCCCCCGGTGGATGTGGGTTATCTACTATCATATTTAGTTTATTATATGTGTTTTCTGTTAGCGCTGCATCATTTTTATATATTTATTCATGGGAATAACATTCATAGGGTAACTTGTTTACCTGGTAAACACTATAATTGCTATTTCCAGTAATTATAACTGAAGTATTTTCATGTTATGATCAAAAGCGTTTGGTCATCCAATCTGAAACCCCTTCCAGCTTTACTCACCTATATTTCAGAGGGAAGCTCGAGCTGTTAGATTATTTATTATTATGGAAGCACAGGTCTAGATCATAACACACATTATTGCATGTATGGAAGCTCCCTAGGTGCATATTATTGATTGGACATATGTTGGATCGTGTCCTCAATGGGACCTTGAGGACTGCTGTTCATCGTAATATTTACAAATATTCTGCCGGATTTTGTCATCTCTTGCACAGATCTTGTGGACTGTTCTGGTACCTAATAAATGTCTCTCTCTGGAAAAGAACCGTTGAACTTCTTGTTGTGGAGATACTTATTAATCATCATCCTTTATATATAACAACACATAGGCAAACTAAATGCCTTACAGTTAGGGTTTGCATCTTGGGCCGAGACTATGCTATACCTATACTGTACCTATACTGTATGCAGGCCAGGTGGGACTGTTGTTAACTGCAGCAACACTCTTGAAGGGCCCCAATGATAGCCAGCAGAAGAACATCTCAAAGGACTGCCATCCCATAATAATTATTCTGCAAGCCTCCTTTGTTCCACTGCCCCCCTCCCCTCCACTACCACCCTCCTTTTCTTTAGGACTGTGCATATCTAGTCGGTCTAGGACCTACATTGCCACCATAAATGCTCTTTGGCAGTATAGTTCCAGTGGATTAAACTTTACTACTGTTCAATGCTTCACTTGAGATGGCCTTGTTTTATTGGCAACTGTTTTTGCTGATCTGGATGCCAAATGTCATCTTATACCTTGTCCTTACTGTTAAAGGAAAAGTTCACCTTTGGGAATATGTTACATGTTCCACCCCTTTTCAGGGTGAAACATGTGACATGTTCCTGATCCTGCAGCTGCCACTTGCTGCCCCCCTCTGCCCATGACAGAAGTACGAGGAGAAATTCCCCTTGCTAACTGTCACTTTTCAAAAACAGCGTGGCTGTGTGGGGCTCTGCCCACATGCCAACATCATTCATTCACAGTCCTCCGTGAATGAGTGGACTACAGGTCCTGACAACTTTAGCAGCTGTCAGCTTGTAGTCCTCAATAGACTACCATGACACCGTGGAGTGCTGTGGTAGTTCATTGATTCTCCTGTCAGAAGTATTGGCATCAGGATGTACAAGCAAGCAGATACATTGACAGTCTGCAGGAGACCTGCATGGCATCAGCAATCTTCTGATCGCTGGTGCAATGCTTTAGAGGCTCTTAACACAAAAAATAATAAATGCACATTTTTTTACCTGCAAAAAAATTTACATTTATTATTTTCTGTGTAAAGGTGAACGTATCTTTTAATCACTTTGTATGTTAAATTGTATTATCATTGTTAATCAATTTTATGCTTGCCTAGTTACCAACCATATTGGGTGACAATATATTAAGTTTGCCTTGTTTGGTGCCTGTTTTTATTGGTATACAGTAGAGCTACTACTGGGTACTAAGTATTACCTTCAGTGATTTCCTGTGATATTGTATATTTGTACACTCAACCTGGTGTGTTAGAGAGGCTCGGGGGAGGTGGGGGGGGGGGTAGCACTACATTTTGAAAATTAACATTATTTGTATCTGTCAATTAAAGGTGTACAATGCAATGCCATGTTGAAAAGTACAGTACTAAGCAAGATTCTACAAAAATAGATTTTCGCTATCCACACCATATTCAAAAAGCTGACTGCCACTGACTACTGTTCATAATGCACAGCTGGCAATTTAAACTTGAACGTAGCTGAAAAGATTTTTTTCGATCACTTCTAATTAGGATTCTAGCCTATGCAGTAAGAAGTCTCTTCAATGAGGACATAGCCAGCAATAAAAATAGGATTTATTACTAAAGTGAAGGAGGGTTCTTATTGCTCTCTGTTTCCCAAATGAAAAGATTTCCCTTTACCTTCATCGATGTGATAGGAAAGGATTGGAATTTCTCATAGAAAAGTGCACAGGCAGAAATAGAAACCTACCAGCTAGCCATTCCGTTTTTTAGCTAAACTTAAAAATAGGTTTTAGCTGGAACGCTACTTTAAGTCACGAGTGAATTTCACACTTTTCATGTAACCACCACCATTGATCATTCCTTTGTAAGCTAGAGAAAGCAGAGTCTCAATGTGCTGATGAGGAGGGTGTAAAAAATCAGTGACAAAGAATTAAATCTGCATGATTAGATTCTGGTGAAAGCAGCTGCATCAGAACTCATGTCACAAATTAGTTTTGCAACATTGGACCTAAAGCTATTCAGTGAGTTATTGCTCTGGAAGTTGTGTTATGCTCCATAAGAGATTCCCCTTACAGGAGGCAGATTATATCATGGTAACCTGAGCTATACAGACATCCTCAGAATTAGTATATCTAAATAAAAATAGCCTAGCATGGAGTTGTAAAACTGTTTTGCTTGCCAATTTCTTTGCAATTCATCCAGTCTTATAATTTGCACACAGATATTACAGTACACAACAAGCCACCTGCCACCATTGTTTCTTGGTTCAGCTTTAAAATATATTGGGGTAGTTTTTAAAGAGTGTTATAGACACCCTGTAGAATTTCATTAGGCTGCTGAAAAGAGACATTGTTGGTGCTTACAGACATCTGTTGATAGCTGGCACCCAGTGTGGAGTGGACACAGCAGGTTACAGATTAAGCTGCAGCATGGCCTTTACAGTGCAAGAAATGACCAACCGGGAGGACTTCATGTGATGTACATCCAGGATTAGAATGCTCCCACTTGGCCATTTTTTACAGTAGGCTAGGCTGGCAATAGTTAAACTCCCCTGCTTGTGTTGCATGCCTACTCAAT